TTACCTCCTCCAAGGTTCTAGGGGCAAGGGTCTTGGAGGTCCAAGATTTAGTCTGACAAAGTTAAGACACCTGGGTATAAAAAAAAAAAAAAGTTATTGGTTACTCACTCACTTTTACACAATGTTATACATTCGTCATCCATCTCAATTCTGTTTGTAGGCAAAAAAATTCACATGGTGGATGAATATCTTACGTGACAATAAACTTTCGAAATTCGTATAAATCGTTTGCATGCTCTATTTTCTTCAATTTTTTCCTTCTATAAATTCCATCAACTAATAATTATGAACTGAGTGGTTACCCCAAAACAATATACCAAATATTTACTATATCTCATATTTCTCATTTACAACTTACACTTCAAATACAATTGGTTCTTCTGATAACACTACAACAGAAAAGTTGAAAGATGAGCCTTTTATCCGTCCTAAAAGAGTGTAAAAACCATCGTCTTGTAAGTCACTGTAAAAGATCCCATCATGAAGACAACAGTTTTCTACGAATTTTGTAGAATAAAAATCACAAACAAGTCGAATAATACGAGAAAAAAAAAAAATTGAAGAAAATAGAGTGAGAAAAAATAATTAGCCAAAATTAATCCAAAAATCATGAAAATCATATAAAAAATCATACCGTATAAAATTGAATTGATATGAATGATGGATGGATGGATGGATAACATTGTATAAAAATGAGCGAGAAACATTTACTTTTGATGTTTAAGTAGTAACTATAAGTAAATGTTAGCAATTACTTATTTAATTAACTATCAAATTTCAACATCATTTATTGCCACGTAGGATTTTCATCCATCACGTGGATATTATTTGCCCACGTGGATGAACTAAATTGAGATGAATGAGTAACTTTATGTAAAAATGAATGAGCAATTAGTAACGTTTTATTTTAGTTGAGCAAGTACTAATCAAAATTAGAAGAAAATACTTAATCTTATAATCTCTTCCCTTTGCGTTCTATTGCTATTGCATCAAAAGATAAAGTACATATTTTCAACACCACAAGTCAATCACTTAAACTTGAAAACAACAATTTTAATTTTTCGAGTTCGCTATAACCCCAAATTTGTGGAGCAACTATTATGTAAATGTCACGAACTTGATATTCATCAAGATTGTCTGTACGGCCAAATGTTGGGAATGGTCGATTCAATTTCAACAGTAGACTCGTTGCAATATTAGTTAATTCAAGAAGGGAACTTGCATGGTAAAAAGAATAAAGCTACTTTGACAATATTTGGTTGACATGTTTGACACTCCATGTATTTTCAAATGCAAATGGATGAGAAAGTGTATTTTATTTTAAAACTGTCCAATCATGCCACAACATGTGGCACAATGTCAAACTTGATGTCAAATGAAGTGTACATGTAGCATGATTGTGGTAAAAAATACTTGACTTAAATTTGGAGAAAATTGTATGTTTAAGAGTTACGGACAGGGAGCTCCATTCTGTTGACTCCCATGGATAGAATAAAACCTGCATTTTCTCAAGGAAAGAATTGATCCAGACTCAGAATGAATGCTAACTATATGCTTAATACATGCAATGCAACCATCTAACT